TGAGTTGAATACAAAGTATAACTTATAGGGAAACAAGATTACAGTGTTTAAAAGAGGAGGCTTTTCCACTCCTAGGTGTATATCCAAGAGAAATGAAAAAATATCATCATACAAAAACTTTTACACACATATTCATAGCAACATTGTTTATAATAGCCAAGGGTGAAAACAATCCAAAGTCCATCAAATGATGAATAGATGAACACAAATGTGACATTATATATACAATGGAATATTTCAGTCATCAAAAGGAATGAAGTATTGATAGGTACTACAGCACAGATAAACTTTGAAAATATTATGCTAAATGAAAAAGGCAAGATAAAGGGCACGTGTTGTTTGGTTTCATTTCTATCAAATGTCCAGAATCGGCACATCTATAGAGATACAATGGCTTCTCAGGTGACACTAGTGGTAAAGAACCTGCCTGTCAAAGCAGGAGACATAAGAGATGTGAGTTTGATCCCTGGGTTGGGAAGATCCCCTGGAGGAGAGCATGGAAACCCACTCCAGTATTCTTCTCTGGAGAATCCCTTGGACAGAGGAGGCTGGTAGGCTACAGTCCATAGCGTTGCAGAGTCGGACATGACTGAGGTGACTTAGCACACACACACACATATAGAGATAGAAAGTAGATTAGTGGTTGCCAGAGGCTAGATTCTGGAGCCATGGAGAGTGACAGCTAGTGGGTACAAAGATTTTGTAAAGGTTAATGAAAATGTTGTAGAGTTAGATGGTGGTGATGGATGCAGACCTTGAGAATATACTAAAAACTATGAAATTGTATACAGGGATAAGTTGGTTTTTTTTTCTTTTAAATTGGAGGATAATTGCTTTACAATGTTGCCTTGGTTTCTGCTGTACAACATCATGAATTGGTCATAGCTATATATTCCTTCCCTCTTGAGCACCCTCCCACCCCCCCCATAAAGGGATAAGTTTTATGGTAGGAGGGTAAGCTTTTAGTGCTTGAACTCCAGCTTGGCTACTTGTTAATTATGTGACCTGGGCAAGTAACTCTATTTTTATTGCCTCAGGTTTTTTTCTCTGTAAACTGTGCTTACTAGTAGTACATATTCACGGGATTGTTATAAAAAATCATACATAAATGCTCTTATTGTAATGTCTTGTAAACAGGAAGCACTCAGTGTTAGAGATTGTTATTAATATTTCCAGTTTCAGCATGACCAAACATGGATAATTCTGGATGACCTTTATAAAATGAATCTTGTGTAAAAAAAATTGTTCAAATTTGGTATGTAGATTTAGAGAATGCCATCTATCTTACTTTTAATTCATAAGTGAAATAGAAATAAAATGTCAAAGTGTTAACATTAAGGCTTTTCTACATAAGTGTCAATTTATGAATGTTGATCTAAGCACCTATGTTTTTACTTTTAATAGGTAGCCCATCTGAATGCTTCTTAATAACTAATGACAATGATTTTCAGCATTGAATAAATTTTATGGTACAATCTAGTTGATATGTGAGAAAATATAGTTAAAAGTCAGTTATTTATAACTGGGGTACTTTGTAATTCATTTTTAAACTCTTCTGTCAGTTTGGTTGATTACTTCACTGTCATAAACATACATAAAAAAGTCTTTTTAATTGATACAGATTCAGCGTTTGTTAGAAGCACAGTCTCTGCAGCCCTGTTCCCCTAAGACAACCACTGTTGAAGACACAACGCAAGCTGCAAGACAAATGGAGTTGGTTTCCATGGAAGCACAGCCTCCCCCTGCTTTGCACATGAGAAAAAGTGTAAGCATTGCTGTGAGCACAGGTAATTTCATTTTTCTTAATTTGTACATAGTACACATAGAATTAAAACCAAGGTGATGAGAGTGTAACTTAACTCTTTGTGTGATTTTACTCTTTATGAAACAAAACTCTACCTGAAAACAGATTGGAAACCACATAACACAATGTGTTGTTTGTTTTTGCTGCTTTTCCAAGCTGGACCCAGTTCTAATGAGAGAAGTCATCTGTGGTTTAGGGGATCAGGGAAGATTTCATCCATGCAGTGTTATTGATTCTGGGCCTTGAAGGGAATGTAGGATCTTGGTGGAAATGACAGATAGCAGAACAGATTGGGTAGAGAAAATATGGGCTCAGAGAAACAATGCAGAGTTCTGAGTTCAGAGTTCTAGTACTCAACCCATTACTATGTCACGGAGAGCCATTACTAGATCTTTCACAAAGCTGTCTGTTTCATCTTGTAAGCAAAATAGAAGGCCTTTTTAAAAAAATCAGTAATATAAATGACATCTATGTGTTTACATATTTACTCACAATCAGACTATGAGATCTTTAAGAACATCTTTGTGTGTTCAGTATCTAGCAAGATGTCTAGTATATAGGGTGGGGGTTATAAGACTGAAGAGGAAGAGTCATGTACAGTGTTGATAAGATTTGAGAACTAATTGGATATGGCAGTTGGAAGAGGGAAGATTCAGTTAAGATTAGTTCAGATTCATTTAGTTAAATGCCGTGTGATTATCCTGGATTGGGTCCTGAAACAGAAAAAAGACATGAGTGAAAAAATTGATGAAACCAAACAAAGTCTGGAGTTTTAGTTAATAGTAATGTACCAACACTGTTTTCTTGATTTTGAAAAATGTACCATAATAATATAAGATGTTAACAACAGGGAAGACTGGGTGAGGAATACACAGTAACTCTCTGTTTTATCTTCTCTGTGAATCTAGAATTATTCCAAAGTTAAACATTTATTAAAGGTGAAAATAAAAGTTACTTCATGATCTTGAGCTTGGATGACAGAGGGAGGCAAGTTAGAGAAGCAGAGGGGAGGAGATGAGTTCAGTCTAAATATCTGTTCAGATTGAGCTACTTTTGGAAATGTAGATAGTAATACTCAAATGTTAGGAGAGTGGAGTGGATTGATGACATAAGAGTTGTGAAAGTAACAGATGAAGGTTTGAGCCTGGAGAATACAAATTTAGGAAGAGCATTAACAAGGAAGACAGCTTGCTATATTCTTTATCTGTACCCATATGTTATCTAAACTTCATGAAGAGGGCAGCAGTGAGGGAGGGTAGCAAGAACCTCATGTACATTTATAAGTCAAATTCAGGTATTACTCAGTTAAGATTTTTTTAGCAGCAAGTAACATAAGCCACTTTGAACTAAGCAAGGAGGGAGAATTTACTGGAAGGATATGGGGATGTTTCATGAAAACCACGGCCAAGAATTGGGCTGGACTTCAGAAAAAAACTAGACATTGACACTAGAAAATCATTGGAGTATCCAGTTATTACACATGGCTGTTTTATCAACTCTATCTGGAGTCTTCACTGCTTTACATTTTAAAATACAGCTCACCCAGAGCCCCAGAGTTTCTGTTATACAGTTCTACCCATGTACACACACCACATTATGATCCTTCAGTCTCAACTTCAAAATGCTGAACCTGAATGGTCTAGTTTGGATTAGATTTTAATCCCTGGTTCAGGGATAAGGGGACTGAGAAGCATGTAATAGGGACATATCTGCTGGAGTCCCATCTTTGTTAATTGCAAGGATGACAGTTTCCTGCATATGTGTGCTGTAGAGGGTGGTGGTAAAGCAGTATTATGAGATAAACCAAGAAGTGCAGTTTCCTTCTATGTCTCTTGTGAAGTCTGTACTTAACTATATTCCAGTTGCTCCCCATCTGTATCTGTCACTAGACTGTAAACTTTTATTGACTGTTGTATCTTATTACCTAGCCTGATGCCTAAATCAAACTGATCTCCTGAAATTATTTGAAACAAGTTTTCAAGCATGATGTATATTTCAAATATTTTGAAACCTCATAGAGTCATATTTAGAGCTTTGACTTATATGCAGAAAAATGAATTATTAGTCATTTGAATTAAATGGCTCTCTATGATAATACTTAATTCCTAAGGGTATACACTGGTGGGTGTTCAGGAAGAATAGCAGCACTTAAATAACTTTTCTAAATTGTCCTTTTATTTTTTGGGGGGGGGCTGTGCTGTGTGGCCTACAGGATCTTAGATCCCTGACCAGGGACTTTTTTAAATGCTTAGTTGAATACAAAACTAAATCATCCTTTTGTTAATTTATGTTTATAAAATCACCCAAGTTGATGCTCAAAGTGGAAAGAGTTTTGACTTGAATTTAGTCTTTGGTTTTAACTTTATTTCTTTAAATCATGTATGTATCACAAGATTTCTCAAAATGTGGAATGCATATCGCTCAGATTCAAAAGATGATTTGGTGTCGTATAGGGATTACTATTTTATACTGTGTAGATATATTTATTCCTATAAGTATTGGAAAAAAATACAGCTAGCACATAAAAATCAATGATTTCACAGAAATGATGCAGCTAGGTAAAACAGTGAGTTGAGTTAAAGAAAATCAGTAAGCAAATAATAATACATGCAAATAATTGTGCAAATGATCTATACAATTTGGGAAATATTTGATTTTTACTTGCTTTATATTACATATGTCTGATATAACCCTAATACAGTCTCATAAATATTGTGTTTAAGAATCGAAATCAAAGACCCCAGGGATTTGCATTTTATATATCCTCTCCTATTTTTCAGAACAGCAGTTTTCGAAACACATATATACTCCAAATCATATTCAGAACCTTGACATGTAAAACTCGTCATGACAGCCACACCTCTTGAAGAGTCAGGGCCTGAAGGGTCCTCTTTTCCTTTGTGCTCAGTTTCCTCTCTTTTCACTTTTCATTTATTTCTTCATGGCATTTCTGAGAAATATAATCTGAAAACAGTTCTAGGTAATTGTGTTAAAATAATATAGCTAACATTACCTAACAAAAGTTTGTCAGAGAATTATTTTTTATAATTGAGTGTTTCTGCATCTGTTAAATCATCTGTTCTCCAGGTGCCAGCTTGTTTTGGAATGCAGCAGGTGACGATCAAGAGCCTGAATCTCAGCTGAGGCAAGATGATACCAAGATTTCCAGTGAGGACATGAATTTTTCTGTTGATATTAATAATGAAGTCACAAGTACTCCGGGTAGTGCATCTTCGTTAAAAGCTGTTGATATTCCCAGTTTTGAAGAGAGTAATGTTGCTGTGGAAGAAGAATTTAATCAGCAACTTTGTATATCCAAGTAAGATCTCTTTGATTCAGTATTCATCTTCTTTTTTTCTTTTTAAATTCTAATATTCCTCTGGTAGTCTAACTCAGAAATTTTGTAAAAGTATTTTCATGGTGTCTTTCCTAATGTGATTCCTGTGTAACAGACAGTTCTTTTTTTGCTGCACCACTCGTCATACTGGATCTTAGTTTCCCCCATCAGGGGTCTGACTTATGCCCCCTGCAGTGGGAGCATGGAGTCCTAACCACTGGACTTCTAACCATTGAACTGCCAGGGAATTCCCTGTAAAAGACAATTCTGAGCCTTCTAGGACCATTCCCAGATGTCAGTCATTGGACCTATAATACAGTCTTACTGAATCAGAACAGCTGAAGATTTCAGAAATATCTATGTCAGGCCTCACTAGAGATTCTGATAACACTAGGTTCCAGATGGAGCCAGGGTCCTGAATTTTTTAAATTTTTATAAAGATTTACATACTGCAATTATATGTGTATAACAACAGAGTCTTTATTTCTGAGAGATATAACCTGTTATTCAAGATATACTCAATAAGCTGATGGGGATGAAATGGCAAAGGGCAGAGCTGAAGTAAGATAGACTCTGAGTAGATAATTTTTAAAACTGATTGTACATAGTGGTTTGTTAAAAACTCTCTTGTGTTTGAAATTTTTCTTTATGAAATTTTCTATGAAAAAAATAAGGATTCTGAAGTAATTCAGATCCTTTGCAAATTTGGAAACAAATTCAGCAAATATTCTTTGAGCTTCTGGTATATGTTGCCAAAAAACTAAGCCCTAGAAATTGAGCAGTAGGTCAGACAAAGCTCCTGACTTCATGGAATTTCCATGAGTTCTGGAGACAGTAACCGCATCAGCAGGAAACATATAATTTCATATGAAGACCATTGCCTGAAGAAAATAAACCAGGGTGACCAAGTGGAGTGTAACTAGGATAGTGGCATGGGAGTGAAATGGGTATATTAAGTAAGATGGTGAAAGAAGCCTTCAGATTATATAGGGCTCTGTAGGATGTAGAAGTTCTGAATGTATTCTGTGTTCATTAGAATCAGGGAGGATTTTAAATGATGTAGTAGTATGATCATTTTTGTTTTTTAAAGGCCATCCCAGCTGTTTTGTGGCAAGTGAACTGACGGGGGTTAAGATTAGAAGTAAGGAGACTGGTTAGTAAACTGAAGACCAAGTAAGATGAAGGTGCCTGGGAATTGGAAGTGGTGGCAGGGATCAGGTGTAGGATAAATTTTGAATGTGGAGGAATAAGGTGGGTTAAAACACCACAGTGTAATATCACATGAAATAGTTTTAAAAGAGGTGAATTCAGTGGTAGGGGTGGCGTGAGCAGGCATTTGATTACTTTTTAAAATTTTAAGCCTTTTGGTAATATGTGATATTTTAAATTATCTGATTACAATAATGATTAGAACAACAAACACACCCTTCCAGAAAACCAAAAATATTTATCTGCTTTGCTCAGTAGAGAGTATGTTTTAACCTTACAATTCAATTAAGTATTTATAATATGTACCACAGTATATTAAAAAGATCTGTATACCTGTCTCAACCCCCACTAGTTTGAATTTCTACAGTTTGTGGATCATACTCATTTCTGTATCATTAGGACTTGAACCAGTGTCTGGTTCCCCACATCAGCTACTTAATAGATGTTCAGTGATAGGAAGAGCAGTTTGGGCTAAGCCCCCAAGATAAGTTCACATTTCACTTGGAATAGTTACAGAAAATGAGAACAAAGAGACATGAACTGTGGTTATCCTTATTTATTCTCCCTGTGGTTATCCATATTTATTCTATCTGTATTTCCTTCTGTAAATTGTAGACTGCTTTCAAGGATTAGCTTTTCCCTCTGAAAGTAGAACTTTAAAAATCTCCAATCCATTGTGGTTTTTAACTTCAGAAACAGATCTGAGTTAACTGATAGAAGGCAATTAATTGCTTGTTCAGAGTGATTAACCAACTCTGTGGATTCCAACATATAACTAGATGTAAATCTGATCTTTGTTCTTCATAGTATATGATTCAGATTAAATAGTATCTCCAGTGTTGTGTATAGTGGTTTTGGTGCTTTTCTAGGATTCTTCCCAAACATCTAGTCTGATTCATGCTGTGGTTTGCTCTGCTAAGTATTCATACATGGCACCTGGCCACCTGAGTCCCCTGTCCCCTTTGGATGTCTTGTTGGGTTAGTCTAATGTTAAAGCAGTTGGTGAAAGGTAAATTTTTTGACTTGCAGCATATATGGTAATCGCTTGCTTTTTCCCAGGGAAGAGCCATGTGTGATACCCATAGACCTTCTTTTGACACAGTACTTTTTCTCTTTTTTTAAGAAGTCAGGCTTTGGACATACCTGCTAATACTTGCCATATTAGAATCATCTTTAAACAATTTTTTAAATTTGAAAATCTTATGTTTTATTTCTTTTCTTCTGGAATTTTTAGCTTTTATTTTTGTTTGGTAGGTTAGACACCAAAGCAGGTATTTTTAAATTCTTGAAAAGGCAATATAGCAGAGTGATTAAGAGCATGGAGCCAAATTACCTGGATTCAGATCACAACTGTGTGACCATGGGCAGGTCTCATAATTTCTGAATGCTTCTGTTTTCTTGCCTATATATGGAGACAGTGAAAGTACTTATCTCAGGATTGTTGTAAAGATTAGATGAGTTAATATATGTAAAACACATAGAAAGTACCAGAATTAGTACCTTAAAAATTGTCATCATTTAGCTAAAGGTAGAATAAGTCTAACTCAGTAACTGACATGAACTCTCTTTAAAAATAAAGAGATTTGCAGATGTTTGCATGATAAAAATCCTGCTCAGTACAAGTACTTTCCCCAGAACCCATGAAGTCTCTGAAGCCTGGATTTCTGCTTCTATGTTTGAGTTTTGAGGTCTTCATTAAAGTGAAATCAGTTGACATGATTGAAGATAAATGTTCAATGTGCTATTTAGGAAGTAAGGGGATAGCAGCAGGAGATGAAGAAAACTAGCAATTACAGATCCCCCACCGGGTTTATCTGGTACTGTGCTAGGCGCTTTGTATCTCCTTTAGTCCTGTCTCACGGTTTTCAACCCAGGGAGGTGGATGCTCTTCTTCCCGTTTATGAATGAGAAAGCTGAGGCCCAGAGAGATTAAGATATTTGCCCAAGATATAATGAACACACAGATACCTTTATTATAAATGAGAGTATATGTGACCTAAGAGATAAAAGAAAGTGCTAACGGAGGTTGAAAGAAGCAAGAGGACATATCCAGTTAAGGTTTTAGAACATCATAGAGGAAGTAAACTTTTAAAATGTCCCTTGAACAGTGGATAGGATTTTGATAAGAGTATGCCAATTTAAAAGCTTTAGAACGTAACTCTTGGCTCCAGGGCATTTGAAAATACAGTAAATTGGGGCCCTCCACCAGTTGAGAATCTCTGAGGGGAGAAGTTCAAACAGTTGTGTTTTTAAAAACTTTACAAGTAATTTTGATGGTGTAGTTAAGATTGAGAACTGTGGCATAGTAGACAAAATTTATGGGCAGAAGAACTCAGAGTATTGTTCATATTCCAATTTGTTCAGAAGATAAAATAAAACAGGGAGCATTGAAAGGGACTGGCTGAAAAGCCAGGTTGACTACCAAATTTCAGAGAGCTTTGACTGGCATAATAAGGAATTGTTTTTGTGTTAATAAACCATTTAAGATTTCTGTTTGTTTTGTTGTTGTTGTAAAACAAAATAACAGAATTAACTAACAGTTACTTTATATATGTCCTTTGAAGCAGATCTTCTCCACTTGAGAGAAAAGAACCTGATGTACCTGTATTCTTTCCGAATCCCCTGCAAGCAGAATGTGTAAGCATGTGCTTCCAGAGTGGACCAACAGAGGGTGCCACTAATATCTCTGGAATATCAGGGGAACCCAAAACTGAGCAAGTAATGCAACCCTTGCCTCATCAACCATCAGATAACCAGCAACTATTCCAGGATGTGTTGGTAAGAAAATGTAAAGCATTCTGTCTTTTGTGAGATGGTTATTTAGTTTAAGGTACACTAGTTAAGCCTTTCCCATCTTTAAACTGATGGGGACCTTGATAGGAAAAGATTTTCCCCAAATTCAAGTTCAAAGTTAGTACCAGAAAAAACAAGCAAGAGTTTGCAGGAGGTTTGAAAATTAGAAAGTAATAGAATATTTACGATAATGTTTACTGATTTCAGCTCAGATAAGCAGATTTTTATGAAACAGCTTAGTCTAAGAAAATGAACTGAGTAAAGTGGGTAATATATAGATGAACATGACAGTCTCTGCCTTTGAAAACTTAGGGGAGATAACACATGCGTACAAGTAACAAACAACTAAAGATTGAGCAGTACTGTAAGCAAAAGCAGCACAATAAAAAGGAGTTGATGTATGGTAGAAACTGGCACAATATCGTAAAATGTAAACTGGGACTTGGAGGTCAGGTGACCGTGGCTGTCACTTACAATCAAATTGTAGATTTTAGAACACTTGATTTCTCCATTTATAATTGAAGGCTAGTTAAAATACTTCATAGGGCCCTAAGTATTCATCAGTTAACACGGATTTTGTTATTTGCCTGCCAGGTCCTACACTGGTGCTACCAGCCATGTGCTCAAGGGAATGAAATATCCTTTAATGTCAGAAAGGCAGAATTACAGGTCATTCTCATTCAAAGTGAGAAAAGAGGAGTCAAATTCTGACAGTAACATAAAGGTTACACTTATAACTCTAATAAAACATTATCTTTTTTCAAATGAAAGCATGATTTTAAACTTTTGTTTATAAAGATTTCACAATAAATCCTTGAAAATACTTGAAATATTACTCAAATGATTTTAAATCTGTTGTCTTTAAAATGAACAAGTTCTGAACAAACATTCTAAGTTTTCTCTAGGATCTTCATTCATTAGGATGGACTTCTTTTATAAAAATTCCATAAAACTTGGCAAATGTACTTGATACTTTGTAGAATTTAGCAGATAATATTTTACTCTGGCATTACTTAGCAGTATTATTTGTATTTTTGTTTCCTAATAGTGATTTTCAAATACGTCCTTTTTCTTCTTTCATCAGAGTCAAGGGAACCACCGATTAAATAACTCCCCCAAAGTAACTGAGGAGCCATCTACCAAAGCAGTAATTATCAGTCATGAGTGCACCAAAAACCAGAATGTTTACCATAGTAAGAAAAAGAAACATGATTCAGGATCGGTGGACAAAGAATGTGTTCTTAATGCAACTCTTAAGCAACTTAGAAGCTTTGGAGTAAAAATTGATTCTCCAACTAAAGTGAAGAAAAATGCACATAAAGTGGATCATGCCAGGTAAGTTTAAAGTTTGTTTTAAAAGATTAAAAAAAAATGTAAATGCATTAAAGCTTCCTCATGAAAAAAGGTATAAGTTTGCCATTCAATTCAACTGGCTTGTGATTTATTCAGGGTCTATATTAATATGTATGTGGTGAATAAGAAATCATATCTACCCTATAGAGGTTCCATTTTAGTAGAACAGTAGGTTACATACCTAAGTAATTTGAGAGACATAGGGATATCTCCTGAGTAAAGATGCCAACAAAATGCTCTAGGAGTCTTAGAGAAAGAGAAATGAACTGTTACTTACTTTTGGTGTCTAGAAAAGTTTTCCTGGAAGTGACGGGGTCTGTGTCAACTACTGGATGTACAGTTACTGCAGTTGTCATCTAAAAAGGAAAAAACCTTCCTTTTTGTAGGACTGTGTTTTAAAGACTATAGTTATATGAACCTTACTTATTTCTCACCAGTTCCAACTGGTCATGTTCTTCTGTTCAGATTTCTCTTCATCAAAGATCAGCTCAACACACACTTGCTTTTAAAGAACATAAAATCTGGGAATTCTGTAATTAAGGCTAATGCTGTGCTTAGTCACCTAGTTGTGTCTGATTCTTTGCGACCCCATGGACTGTAGCCTGCCAGGCTCCTCTGTCCGTGGGGATTCTCCAAGGCAAGAATACTGGAGTGGGTTGCCATGCCCTCCTCCAGGGGATCTTCCCAACCCAAGGATCAATCCCAGGTCTCCTGGATTACAGGCAGATTCTTTACCATCTGAGCCACCAGGGAACCTGAAATAAGGCTAGTATGTTTTCTGTTAATTATTTTTGATGTTTTTTTAATACAGTCTCATGATTTTAAATCATATAACATGCATGGATATCAAATAAAATGCAAAAAAACCCACTTCCCAAACTCCTCAGTCTGACTCCTTCTAAGTTATTTCTCTTAACTGTTTCTTTGGTATTTGTCTAGAAATGCTCTGCACATGTTCAAGTATGTATCTGTGTGATGTGTTGCAATTTATGGGTTTTTTTGTGTAACATTAGATACTTTTTAGGTATATGCAATTCTTTCTCATGCATTTAAACAACTGCAATATTCTGTTGTGCCCATGTACTATGATACAGTGAACCCCAGTTCTCTACTAATGGATTTTTAGGCCGAATCTCTTATTCCATATCTCAAACAGTGCTAAGTGAAAATCATTCTACAGGTACTTGTACAAGTGTTTTTGTAGGGCAAATTCCTATAAGTGGTGGGTTCAAAGGATGTATGCATCTGAAACTTTGGCAGATGTTGCCATTGCCCCCCAAAATAGCTGTATTGAATAGTTTATATTCCTGCCTCCAGTGGAGTGAGGCTAGCATTTTTGAAGGTCTTATTTCAATACTGTTAGGATAGAGGCTTTATTACATCTGTTAGAATGCTTAAATCAACCTGCTATCTTTGTGGAACCCTTACATTCGGTATGGCTGCCTGTGGGGAATAGTTTTTAAGTAATGTATTTCTTCATAGTGGCCACCCTATTTTAATGCCTTAAGTGTCAAACATTGAAATTAATAAATTTTCCATATACAATGAACTTGATACAGTTTTTACATGCCTAGAATGAAATGTAAAGTAAAGCCATTTGCTCTATCAGTATGGGGTGGTCAGATTGTTTTAATCAACTCTTCTGCCCTTTACTTAAATGAAAATTTATATTATAAATTTATACTATAAAAATGATACAAACTCAGGGTTGGAATTTTAGAAAATGAAGAAAATGTCATTTGAACTAATAACACCCAAAGGAAATTAGGAAACATAGTTGAAGTTTTACTGTATATATAATTTTGTTTATTTTTCTTTATTCACCATTATAAAATAGACATTTTCATTTAGTATTGTGGGCTATTCCCATTTTTGAATTTCATTTATCTATATGATTTGAAAAATCCATAGATACACACCCATAGACAGGATTTTAGTTTCATGTAAGATGATTTTCTCAAGGAAATGAAAGCTGAGATGAAAAAACATTGTTTTCAAAAGCAATATGTTGAATTAATTATTTCTATAGAGGGGTAAGCTGGCTAAAATGTTAGAATAACATAGCTATATCTTCATATGAAAACTTTTTTTTCAAAGCTTTATTTTATTGTATAAATTGGGTAAAATATTATAGAGCTTTGGGAATAGAGTTTGATATTTGTTTTGTTTCCATTATCAAAGTAATGTAAGTTTATTTTGGACACCTTAGAAAATTTAGAAAAGTAGACCAAAACAAACCAACCAACCATATTCAGAGAAATTCCTTGGCAGTCCAGTGGTTAGGACTCTGTGCTTTCACTACTGAGGGCCTGGGTTCCTTCCCTGATTGCAGAACTAAGGTCTCGCAAGCCTTGAGGCTGAAAAAAAACAAACTACAAAAAAACCATATTCATACCAACCAACGTAATTTATTATTAAAGAATTTGTTTTGTATTTCTTTTTATTTTTCTAAAATTATTTTAAGAGCACTGTGTGAGGAACTGTGCTAAAGGTTTATGCAGCATTATTTCAGTTGATCCTTGCAGTAATCTATGTGATAGATACTCTTATTATACATGTTTTATGAATGAAGAGGGTCTTCCCTGGTGGCTCAGATAGTAAAGAATCTGCCTGCAATGTGGGAGACCCAAATTCGATTCCTCAGTCGGGAGAAGGCAATGGCAACCTTCTCCAGTATTTTTGCCTGAAGAATTCCATGGACAGAGGAGCCTGGCAGGCTACAGTCCATGGGGTTACAAAGAATCAGACATGACTGACGAACTAACACACATCAGTGAAGAAATTAAGTGCCAATTTATTCAGGGCCCAACACCTGTAATTTTAAACCTCCTCTTCTAACTCCAAAGTCCATAGTTTTGTTTTTCTTTTTTTTTTTTTTTTTTTTTTTTACTGTTTTTGCTCTATGCTTACTGCTTGTTTAATTTTTTGGTAGGATCTTATAGTATGTACATTTTGCTGCTTTGTGTTTTGACCATACTGTATATATCCCCCCCCCCAAAAAAATTGGTCTTATATTGGAAAATAAGCATGTTTTCAAAGTTGTTATAATGTTTTCTAAGCATCATCTTTAATGGGGATTTAATAAACCAGTAAGTGGAATGTAGTATTTGTTTACTTAACCCTTTCCCTCTTGTTAGAACTGAGTCAAAGCATTTTCAGTGCCTTACTGTCTTAAATATTGCTATGATAAACATCTTTTTACAAAGATTGCATTTTTTAGGTTTAGTATTATTTTTTCAGAATAGAATCTCAGAAATGGAAAGATTAAGCCAAATAGTAGGAAAATTTTAAGGCTGTCACTGCACTGCTTTCTGAAAGAGTAAGATTTACAGTCCTACCAGCTATATATGTATTAGTAGTTCAGCAATACTTTCACTCATTTTACTTCAGCAAATATATATATATATATATATATATAGCTTCTACTGTGAGGGAGATATGAGAAATATCATAGTATATAAGGTAACTTAGGAAAGCCGTCTTTCCCCTCATAGATCCTAAAGTTCAGTAGAGAAGATGCACAGGTAAATAGTCAATTATAACATACTCTGGTAGGAGAGGTACCTAGCATATTTTCATACTGTTTTATAATTATCCTATATTAAAATTGATGATTTTTAAAGATTTGTGCTAATTTAGACCAAGAATTGTTAAATTATCTTTAATTTATATTTTATTGATTATAAATGGGTTCTATATATTATTGTGATTAAAAATAAACTGCACTGAAACTATGTCTCTAACACGTAAGTCATATTTTTATTGCCGATAGTCTTGGGCTGAGAGGAGACTCCAGGTATAAGACTATCTAAGAGCTACCTAATTAATTCATGTTTCACAGTTTGTCTTGAACTTAGTTTTTTAGTGTAATCTACCACCCCTGCCACATTCCAGTTTACCCACCTGTGGCATTAGCAAAATTCCTTGCTATTACTTTGACCTGGGATGTTCTTTTTCATCTTACTGCTTGCCACAGTCTTCCTTCTCCTGTAAAGTGGAACTCGGATGTCACCTTCTTTGTCAGTGTATCCAGGACCTCTCACCTGATTATTGATGGTTTGTATCTCAGAATACCTAGTTTCTAATAGATTATACAGCCTGGTCTTGTGATGGCCTTTCTAGTGAGATTGTGAGTTTTATCTATCTGTGAATCCTCATTGCCTCTGTCACACTTGGCCTTCATGGATTCCTAAAGGAATGAAATCCCACCTGCTGGGGTCAGCACTGAAGTTTACAATGAATGCTCTACTCTTGATACCTCTGTAATACTTACTGTCAGTATGTATGGCCTTGTGTTATCTTTTAACACATATTGGTATACTATAGCTGATGTGTGAAAAGTTCAAAAGGCAGTTGTTTAGTAGATTTTTCCTATGAAATAGTGTATAAATTGTAGTTTAGTATTCCAGGAAAGTAATCTTATAATCCTTGTATGCCCATTGTTTTTCTGATTCTGTAAACCAGCTAGCCTTTGTCATTGTACCTGTATGAAAACTTAACTTCACGTTCCAGTTCTGGACTCCAGGAGCATTATCCTCCAGCCACAAGAGTAGCTGAGACAGGGGAAGGAAGATTTCCTTTTGGCTTTCCAGATCCCAGAACCCTGCAGATTAAGAAGGTCCAAAAGCAGGAAAACAAAAGAGGGTCCCAGACATACCTAGAAATTGTAGGGAATTACCTCTGTGGGCATATTCCCAACTGGAGTGATGTTTTGAATTCAAAATAGATCTTAAGCAATCTCTGTAGTTACTTCTTTGCTCTACTTGGAAACCATATGTGTTCTCTACTTGAAAACCCTACACAGGGTAAGTAGGAGGTAACTAATCGGGATTCAAACTGGAAAATAAGTCAGGATTGATTTTCATCTTTAAGTAAGTTGGAAGAATTCCCTTAATTGTTGGCATGTGACGCTCATACTCAAACATAAATGGACTCTCATTATACTTTTGTTACTGCACATCTAATGAGATTCTAATATAGTATATCTGTGATCAGGGCTTTTAGGATTCGATCAGTGGAGTATCTTACTTTTGCTTTTCATCTTAATTACCCTAGTGTTTCTATGCATTGGTTCCATGTATTATTGATTTGTTTTCAAAGTCAAGGTGTTTTCCCCTAGCCCCCAAATTGAAACTAGCTGGCTGTGTTATTGAAGCTTGAAGAAACTTGCAAACTGGTATCAGTTGTTTTCATGGATTTATATAGGTCTTTTAACCATTCTATAAAAGAAGATCTGTTATTACTCAGCCATAAAAAAGGAATGAAGAAACTTACCCGGCGGTCCAGTGGTTAAGAATCTGCCTTGCAATGCAGGGGGCGCAGTTTCGATCCCTGATTGTGGAACTAAGATCCCACATGCCACGTGGGGCAACTAAGCCCGTGTGCCGCAGCTACTGAGCCCTCAGGCTGCAGATAGTCTGTGCATCACAGCAGAAGATCCTGCATGACACAATGAAGGTCCCACAGGCTGCAACCAAGACCTGACAGCCAAATAAATAGTTTTTAAAAAAAAGAGTGAAATAATGGCATTTGTAGCAACATGGATGGACCACGGGATTATCATATTAAGGAAGGTCAGACAGAGGAAGCCAGATATCATTTGGTATCATTTATATGTGGAATCTAAAAATAAAATAAGAGAAATGAACTTATTTATGTAAGACTCACAGACATAAGAAATAAACTTATGGTTACCAAATGGGATGGGGGAAGGAGATTGGAATTTAGGAGTTTGGGATTCATGTATACACATTACTATATATAAAACAGATAACAAGGATTTATTGTACAGCACAGGGAACTGCATTGAGTATCTTGTGATAACCTATAATAGAAAAGAATCTGAAAAAGAATATAAATATATAAATAACTGAATCACTTTGCTATACACCTGAAACTAACACAATGTTATAAATTAACTGTACTTCAGTTTTTAAAATGATTTTTTTAAAAAAGATTTCATTAAAATTAGATCTACTATTTCTCAGTATTTAAAACTTTTTTTTTCTTTTTTTTGGCCATGCCATGCAGCATTCGAGAGCCTACTAGTTCCCCAACCACGGATCAAACCTGTGCCCCCCACAGTGAAAGTGTGGAGGCCCAACTACTGGACCACCAGAGAAATCTCTCGATAATTAACATTTTGAATTAGAAGTTTGTTTAAAATTTATTTATTTTTGGCTGCACTGGGCCTTCATTGCTGCTAAGGCTTTTCTTTAGCTGTGGCAAGCGGGGGCTATTCTCTAGTTGTGGTATGTGGGCTTATTGCAGTGGCTTCTTTTGTTGTGGAACACAGACTCTAGGCGGACGGGCTTCAGTAGTTACGGCACATGGGCTCAATATTGCGGTTTCCAGGCCATAGAGCACAGGCTCAGTAGTTATGGCACAAAGATTTAGTTACTCCACGGCATGTGAGATCTTCCTGGACCAGGGATTGAACCTGTGTCTCCTGCAGACTTGGCAAGCAGGCTCTTTACCACTGAGCCACCAGAGAAGCCTGAATTAGAACTTTTAATTTGCCTTTTCATGTTATTTACATTAACAAGATATTATACTTAGATATTTTTAATATGTACAAATCTGATTTAATATGCAAATAGCTTATAATTTAAAGGAAATGGGCAAAGAAAGTAGAAGAAAGACTTTATATTCAGAAAATATTAATGCTATGAATGTATCATAAAAGAATATGTCTAGATAGATTGGTAGTACCTTTTCCATCTTATTAAGGCAGTCTCCAGACTTCTCTGGCTGTCCAGTGGTTAAGACTCCATGCTTCCAATGCAGGAAGTGCAGGTTCGACCCCTGGGTCAGAAGATCCCCTGGAGAAGGAAATGACAATCTGCTCCAATGTGCTTGCCTGGCAAATCCCATGGACAGAGGAGCCTGGTGGGGTACAGTCCTTGGGGTCACAGAGTCAGACATGACTGAGGAACTAAACAACAACAAAGGGCAGAGAGGCAGGCAGTGTCTGACTTGTATAAAACAGCTGAATTGCTTTGTTGGATGCTATGGAAAGTCATAGCATATTCACTGACTAGGATATAATAATAATTAGTATATTATATATTACATATAACAGTACACAGAGGACTCAAGGGAATAGAAAAACTCTGATAGCAAAATACAAGTTGCTAAATACAGTATAGTGAAACAGTGGTCATAGAGGCCAAGAGAGTAAGGCAGACCTGGTCTCAGCTTGCCAGTTACTAACTGTTCAACTTAGGGAAAAAGTCTCTATTCGTTAGTTTTCTCAACTGTAAAATAAAGATGATAATAATACTACCTATTTTACTCATGCAGTAAATATTTATTGAATGCCTGCCTTGTGCCAGGCACCACAGATGCTGCAATGGCAGGAGAAACAGAAATCCCTTGTCCTCATGGGCTTCCATGAGGGAGCTAGACAATAAGTAAAAAATGTGAGTTAAATATATAGATAGCCATAAGGGCCCAGGAGAAAACAGAAAAGCAGGGGAAGGAAAATGTGAATTGTTGTAATGGTGAATAAGGTTGAAATACATGATAGGGACAACCTCCCAGAGAAAGGTTTTTGTGAGGATTAGATGAGGCACTAAATGTTTAGCAGAGTGCCTGGCACATAAGGCACCAATAAAAATTAGCTATTATAGTATAAATGATATGCAGGAAAAGGCAAGTCAGTTAATTACTATTAATAAAATAACACCAACCAAAGAGAGTGAGGATGATATCTAACGAAAGAATATTACTGTATACACACATACACACACATTCATGCATGCGTGCATATACCTTCATATCCAGAGACTGGTTAATATTTTTCATTCATTACAAATGGAATCTCTTCAATGAACAATGTAACATTCTGAGCTACTCATCAAATCTTGTAATGTTACATTGTCAATTGTGTTTTCTGTTTGATTTTATTTTTGTTTGACTTTACAATATTAAAAAGCTTTACATTGTAAGGTCTTATAGATTGTCTTAAAACTGTAACTGATGTTAATTTAGGGAAGTTAATTTGTGTTCCACTTTTTGAATCATAGATTATCTTCTAGATTACTGTATTTATCCCTTGAATGTATCTGTATCATCAAGACTTAGATGTCTGAGCACTCAGGTAAAAAACCACCATCCAGCTTAAAGCTGAAGACCTTTTGTTACTTTCATAAAGTGAAACATATTTACAATAACACTGTTTAGTACTCAGAATAAGATAAATGATGGCCTGCCTTGTTCTGTCTTTCAGTGTGTTGGCATGCATCAGCCCTGAAGCAGTGATCTCTGGATTAAACTACATGTCATTTGCTAATGTTGGCATGAGTGGCTTAAGCCCCAGTGGTGTGGATTTGAGCATGGAAGCAAATGCTATAGCTTTGAAATATTTAAATGAAAATCAGCTGTCACAACTGTCTCTCACACGATCAAGCCAAAATAATGGTGATTCACCTTTTAGCCTTCTACATATTAATACAGACAGAAGCACAGTGGGGCTTAGTTTAATTTCGCCAAACAACATGTCATTTGCAACCAAAAAATACATGAAGAGATACGGACTCATACAAAGCAGCGACAATAGTGAAGATGAAGAGGAGCCTCCAGACAATACGGATGGCAAGAGTGAACATTTAGTGAATCAAAACCTTACATACATAGCTGAACAACTTGATTGTCAGAAAGAGCCTTCCAGGAATGCTGGTGAGATAACTAATTGTTATAACTGTGACTCCGTGGGTACCCACACAGATATGCCAGTATTGAGAAACATTACAAATGAAGTTGTTCATCCAAAAGCAACACAGCAGTTGAATGAAAACCCTGCTTTCTTATTAAAGAACCTTAAACCAAGCCCTGCAGTACATCTCCGAACTGGAAAAGCAGAATTTACCCAGCATCCTGAGAAAGAAAACGTAAGGGACACTCCAATTTTTACTGAAAGTTTGAAACCTTCTGAAACCTTAAAGCAAATGAATAGTATGAATTCAGTAGGCACCTTCTTAGATGTAAAGCGTCTCAGGCAGTTGCCAAAATTATTTTAAACTTTTAACTCCCCATCCTCCTGATAAGAGGATGGGATGTCTCCTGAAGATACTTACGGAAGTCAGAGCCTGTAGACAGTTTTGGAATTCCTAATCACTCTAGGGATCACTCTGTTGATAGCAGCTTATGGCAAAGAGCTGAACAAGTGGCCTGACTGTGAGATGGCTAACTGGTAGGAGGCCTAAGTGCTCTTTGTTCAGATAGAGTTGTTAAGCATCACTGGATCTTTAAAAAAAAAAAAATCCTGAGATCAGTTATTTCAATAAATTTAGATAAGCAGATGCTATCCAGCTATGAATCTGAGTTGCCCTTTTATACTGTACATTTTGAAAAGTGTTTTCCTAGCATTTTGCATCTACCCAAATACCACCTAAAAGAACATAAAGTTATCATGACCCTGACTAAATTAGCTAAACAACCCTTATTGAATTTAAGGGGGGGGAAGTTTTATTTTTGTAAAATAACTTGCAATCTTTTATACAAGGCGTGTATATATATATATTCTCTTAAGATGCACATTTGTTAAATACTGTGGAAGTAAACTTTTGCACTCTTGTGGGCTGATGTTAATCTAACATTTCAACATATAGCACTAGCTATCACAGAATAAGAAAATTATGAGTATGTTTTATAAACTTTGTGAGTTTTTCAAATGTTTTACTATTTTTTTAATGGAATTTAATAAAAATGTCTAGATTGACTGCTTTCCTTTGTCCTCTGTTAATAGCATATCCTTGTCCACTTAAAAAAACAACTTTGTAGACTCCCCCAAAATTCCAAAAATGAAACAGAGAATTCAGGTGTACCCTTCATTTAGCAACACCCAATAATGCTATCTTACACAATCATACTAAATGATCAAGAAATTGACATTTGGTACAATATTAGTAACTAAACCACAGACCTTTCAGGTTTCACAAGTTGTTGCACTCATTTATTTACTTTTTGGTGTATAGCTGTGAAATTTTATCACTTAGAGATTTACATAACTACCGCCACAATCAACATACAGAACCATCCCATCATCACAAAGAAATTCCTTAGTTCTACTCTTAAAATACAGCCTGCCTCCAACTCTAACTCCTGACAACCAATGATCTGTTCTCCATCACTGGAGTTGTGTCATTTTGAGAATGCTAATAAAAATGGAATCAGAGTATGTACTTTCTTGAAGGTGGTTTTCACTCAGCATAATGTCCTTGAGATCCATCCAACTTTTTGAGTACATCAGTAGTTGCTTCCTTCCCCCACCTTCTTACAAAATAAATTTTAAATTGTTATTTCTAAATATAAATGAAAATGTCCTCATTCACTTGAGTGAGAAAATTCTTCTGCTAAAGTTAAATTAAGACATCATAGCCTTATATAAAAATTTGAGAGGTTAACTGCAAAGAAACGGACTTTCTGTCTCTAAATACCCAGTTTGGGCCCTCTGAGATGATCTGATAAACCAGTTTAGCTAGCCAGCCAGTGTATGGTAGCATGACAGCTCTCTGCTGTTCTCCACAGGAACCAGTCAGTGCACATTTTCCTGTTGCCTTGCTCTGAGGTTAAAATTCAGATGTAGAAATGTCACTGGTGGTGATTCTCAGTGTTTTCTCCCCATGGTCATCATTTGGGACTTTGGTTATTTTAATAAATATTTTCAAAATCCACTTATAGGTTTCACTAGAGTAAAATTTTAAGTAATGGAATTGTGAACGCCACTTCAAGTGCATTCTGTTTCACTTTAGCCCTCAGTGTTTCACCCAAGAAGTAAGTACAATTTATATTGCATATTATTTTTTTAAATCTGAGAGAATGCTGATTCACTGACAGCCTCACTAACTCTACCATTATCACTGGGAATCCTGTAATTGTCACATGGAACAAGAAACTATCTGAACAATGAAAACTGAAGCTGAGACTTTATTTTAAAAATAATTTCTTTTTGGCTGAACTAGGTTTCATTGCTTTGTGTGGGCTTTCTCTAGTTGCAGTGAGAGGGATCTACTCTTCATTGCGGTGCACGAGCTTCTCATTGTGGTGGTGTCTCTTGTTTTGCGGCACAGGCTGTTGGCTTACAGGCTTCAGTAGCTTTAGCACATGGGCTCAGTAGTTGCAGCTTATGGGCTCTGGAGCTTAGGCTCAGTACTTGAGGCACATGGGTTTAGTTGCTCCACGGTATGTGGAATCCTTCTGGACCAGGGATCGAATCTGTGTCCCCTGCATTGGCAAGTGGATTCCTAACCATCACACCAGCAGGGAAGTCCTGAAGCTGAAACTTTTTAGGCAAAATCTAGTTCCATCACTTCTGTTACCACATTGAATTTAAGATTTCTGATAAGACACTTCAGCAGTTTTGGAGATTGAATTTAGACTGCAGATTAATTCAAAAACACATGTCACCTACTAACTAAATGGGCTTCCCAGGTGGCTCAGTGGTAAAGAATCTGCTTACCAATGCAGGAGATGTGAGTTCTATCCCTGGGTTGGGAAGATTCCCTGGAGAAGGAAATGGCAACCCACTCCAGTATTCTTGACTGGGAAATCCCATGGATAGAGGAGTCTGGTGGGCTACAGTCCATGGGGCTGCAAAAAGAGTTGGACATGACTTAGTGACTAAACAACAATAAAAGCTAAAAACACATCCAGAGAAGAGGGACCATTACTGAAGCCTCTCTAGAAATTACCTAAGAAGAGATTTCACTTTGGAAGTTATCTGGCAAATTAGTATCTACAATAGCTTTTCGGCATCTTTGGGAAAAGTATCAGTACTGGAAAAATTGGATTAAGGATGAGATGATTGCCTCTCAAGTGACATTTGTCTGAATTTCTTTGATTCAGTCCCACACAACACTGTGTATAGATAAACAGGTGTTAATGTCAAATGGAATAAGGAAACAATGGTGCTTCTATTACCTGGGAAAGGAACTTGTTAGTCTAGGTCCTAGCCAGTTGGCACCTCCACCCCCTTCATCCAATGTCCCTTCACTCAACCTCTGAGCCCCCTCTATGCTCTACACTCTCTTGTCCTCTGCCTTGCCCTGCCTGTGCTAAATAAGCTCCACAAAAGCGGATGTAGACAGGTGAGATATAAGCCTTGCCTTTGCCATCTGTAAAGGCTCCAGGGAAAACAGATACACACTGTAAACAGTGGCACGACAGTATGAGACAGCATGTGATGAAATGCCATAACCAGTGACCCAGACAGGAGACAGCAGAGCAGTCGCAATAGCTTCCATCTTTTTAAGACTTAACCACGTGTCACAGGGTGCTGCGCAGAGCACGTCACACACCTTAGTTCATTTAAGCCTTCTGGCTGGTAATCCTCATAGTTGAGGGACTGACCTTAGGGAAGTAACTTACACAAGTAAACTGTAATCAGATTCAAACTCAAACTCCTATTAAGCCACTGAGAAATGCAACTTATCTGGGGCCCGAGGACTTCAGGAAGCACTTCCTACGAGACACAGATCTTGAACTGAATGAATGATTTTGAATACTACAGCCAGTGCTATTTCAGATATGTGCTGACCTCCAAGCTACTGGCCTTATTTCCCCTCCAAAAGTCCCCCTGCCCTTTAGCCAAGACCAGAAACCACTGCTTTTATAGACGAGAGTCCTGAAGTAGGCAACCCCTGCACTGTTAATGTTATAAGGAGTTTGATGATTTTACATCGTGGTACTACTATCAGGGCCCCAGGAAGTTAGAGGAGCAAGACTTTTCTGTGCCCTTGTTTTCTAGACATAAGTCTTGCAGGCAGAATCTGGTTTAACCGAGAGACCTTTATGCTTGCAAAATAAATTTAATGGTAGTGTCTTAGGTTTGCAGACTGCTTCACACTCTTCAAAGTGCTTTCCCACACATTTCCTCATAATCCTCACAACCAAAACCCAACGGGAGTATGTGTGGCAGACGTCACTCACCTCTGTACACATGATGAGACAAAACACAAATGAGGTATAGACAGGCCAAGATCACACCTTGAGAGTTAACAACCTGGTCCTTCCATAGCATCCAGTCCAGCAGCAGCCCTTCCATCGGTTCTTCCTCTCCCCACCTGCACCTCTTTTACCCCTCTTCATTCAGCAGGTGTCTAATGTTGATTCTGCTGGGCTCTGAGCTGGATGCCAAGTATAATGTGATGAACAAGACAGCTTGTCCTGTAGGATCTTGATCTAATGGGGGAGACACATGCAACCATTAGCCATACAGTGATGTAAAGCTTATAATAAAACTATATAATGTGTGAGGATATATTAAGAGAGGCTGGGGGGATGGTTATCTTGAGAATGGTCCAGATTTTTCCAAAATCTTGCAGGAGCAATATGGAAGAGAATGGAAAGACGTGCTATTTCTGAAAGAGGGAACAGCTTGTTGGGAAGCATGGAGATCTGAATAGGTATGGCATTGGAAGAAGGGGCTGAGGCAAGAAACCAAAGATAGGAAAGGAAAAATATATATACATGTAGAAAGAATACTGAGTTAGAAGTCAGCAACAATTGGGTTCCTCTTGTCCCTCTGCTCCAAATTCCATGACATGGGGCAAGTCACCTCACATCTCTAGGCTTTAGTTTCGGAGAATTATTGAGGTGAAGGGGTTAGCTGTGTATCTCTAACATGCTGTGATTATAAGAAGCGCTGAGGCAGAAATAGAAGTCCAGAGGAGGGAAAGGCTTCTTCAAGAAAGAGCGTTAGAACTGGGCCTTGAAGTATTTCAAAGGATTTCTACAGTCATCGATGAGGAAGAGATTTCCTTACTATTAATAATACCTACTATTTAACAATTTAAAAAGAAAAAGAATTCTGTTTTCGCCAACAAAATGTCGAGTAATAATATCTGTTTGAAGAGATACCAATGTGTCTTCCTCCAGTTCTGAATTAACACATTCCCTGCCTTTGAGGAGCTCAAATTCCAGTGTGAAAACATCAAACCCAGGGAAAGGGGTTTAAGGGTTTGGAGGCCTGGGAGATGTTCCCTGTCTCCTCTCTGCTACCCAAACCGGAACTGTTTGGATCACAAAAAACATCCTCACAGGAAATCCTGCTTTCCCACCTCCTGGTAAGAGGCTGAGCTCCAGGAAAAGGATGGATTTGGGGAAGAGCCCTGTGTCCTGCCTCTTCACGGGAGGTCTGGGACCAGGAGGACAGGAGGAACT